CTGCCTCGAGGAGAGCGTCCTCCCTCCACGGCAGTTTCCACGGGTGCCCCGACAGCAGGCGTTGCAGGACTGGGAACCATGGTGCGCTCACGTGTTCGGGGGCCACCAGGAGAGCTGTCAATCCCTCCTCCTGAACTCGGTTCAGGAACCATAAAATCAGAGGAGGTGGAGGAAAAATGCGTACAGAAGCATTTTGGGCCATGGGCTGTGGGCAAACGCATCCACCCCCAGTGGTGGTTCGTCTCGTGGGTTCAGAGAAAAACATAATTGACACTGAGCATTTTCTCGTGTCGCAAACAGGCCCACTGCTGCTATTTCAATCTGAGTCAAAATGCTCCGTCAGAGGATGATTAAAGGTTGTTCCGTCTCCGACAACTTTGAGACAAGAAGAAAAACACGACTGCAGCATACAATAATCGTGCTGGACGCCAGATTTCTGTACATCGACTGCTGCAGAAAAGGACAGCATGTTGTCCAGTGGACATGAAGTGGCCTCTACGCCTTCTCTGTACACCTTTTACAAAACGTTTCATCAGCGGATAATTAAAGCTGTTCTGTCTCGAAAATTTCGTGACAGGAAGAGATGGCCATAGTGAACGTTTTACAGGAGCTGAACGCCAGATCTCTGTCCATCAGCTGCTGCAGAAAGACGGCACACCACCTAGTGAACATGAAATGGCCTCTACACCTTTCTCTGTACAGCAGCGCTGAAAAACTGACCACTTGATGTGAACAACAGCGGCAAGACAACAGGTGCTGGCCTATTCTGATTAACTCTTGATCGCTCCTCCCGCCTGGAGGAGAGCGTCCTCCCTCCACGGCAGGTTCTGCGAGCGCCCCGATAACAAGTGTCGTAGGCCTGGGAACCATGATGCGTTCACGCACTTGGGACAGAGGAGCTGTCAGTCCCTCCTCCTGAGCTCGGTTCAGAAAACCGTGATATCAGAGGGAGAGAGGGAGGTGAAGAAGCATTACGACCACAGGCTGTGAGCAGACACGTCCACCCTTAGTGGTGGATCATCCTGTGGCTCCACGATAATTATAGTTGACATTGAGCATTCTCTCGTGTTGCTACACATCCACAGCCGCTCGCAGGATTTCTGTCGTGTCTGAGCCATAGCTCTGGGTGAAATGTCCCAGGTCCCGTGCCGCAAAGGACCATCTTTGGACATCACATCCGTCCCCTGTTCAGAATACATGAGATGTACCCTACTCCAATGGAAAGCAGATTGGGTGTGCCCCACACAGCATCTGTCTCACAATGTGGCACATGGATTAAGCGCATACATCTCCTGCCAGTTATGTATGCAACAGTCACTTGCTGTCTGTGTGAATCAAAACGCTGATGATTCCGCAGCTCAGAGGCAAAGTGTTGAATCACATAAAAAAAAATGTGCGACACTCCAAAAACATTTAAATGGGCTGCTGTGTGGAGAACCACAGCGCCCCCACAGCTCGTTAAATGTGTGTACCTTTGTGAAGTCTGACATGTGTGACGTAGGTCTGCTGACGGAAAACAGCTGATATCACTCAACCGGTTTCACGTGAGTTGCACTGCTGCCACCTGTCTGTATAAACTGCTCAGCAGCAGCACATGTCCAGATAAAGCAGAATTCTCCTCCCTGCTCTGTGCAGCGGCTGCAGAGCGGTTCGGGCACATTAATGGAATGATGTTTCTCACAGTTCAAAATTGACAAATCTAGAATAAATCTCATCTTTCCGGTTCGTTGGGACCAGGAAGTGACGAGAGAGGAACCCTGCATTTTCCTCTCTTTCTGAGACTCTGGAAAATTACATTTAAATCAGAATTTCCTGAGCTTCTGCGAGAGGGGACGAGATCTGTTCTAGAAATGACAGAAAAACGTCATTAGAGTTCCTCCGCACCAGGTTTGAGCTGTACTGCAGCGTGAATCCCTGGATGAAAGCGGTTCGCCTATCCGTTTGGAGCGCACACTCATTGCCACTCGTTATAAAGTTATCAAGCAGGCACGCGTTGATGCTGTGAACTCTCATGCATGCTGATGTGAGCTGGTGTGCGCTGAAGGAGAAAGAAAAAACGCGCGCCCCCGAGCATGCAAATCGTTGTGCGTTTGCTGATGCTGCGGGACGCAGCTCATGTGTTGTGCTCACGTTGTGTGCAGCTGCTCCGTGTAAATGCTTGGGGAGCAGGTGCACGTATGAGCCGACGTGCCCTGAAGAGTCATGTGTGCGCGCCCTCATTCATGCGATGCCTTAAGCCAGGATTGCAGCGGGAGCACACGTTTGATGCTGGTGCAGTCAGGAAGCAGCGCGCGGCATCGGTGGGGCGAGGTTACCACTGGGCTCGGTCTGCAGAAACACGTTCATTCTTGGCTGCGAATCATGTGAGCTTTTGAGTGATTCCATGAGCTGCAGTATTAATTCAGAAAACCTTCTTCGAGGATGAAGGAGCGGAGCCGCTGTGAGGCTTGTGAAACTGTTGACGCAGTGGGAGTGCGCGTTTGACACCACTGCGATGAAAACGCATGTCGCTCCTGCTGACAGCGAGATACATTACTGGGCTCGTACCGCGGTCTCACATTAACGTTGACGTGAACGGCGGGCGCTGAGAGCTTTGTGCGCGCTTTCATAACGCAGCGCCTTATAGGTGAAGGCTGCTTGAGCGCGTGTTGGCACCGCTGGCAGTGAATGAAACAACCTTAAAAGGCTCATTCATGATGAGTGTGTGTGATGGGGCCGCTTGTCAGATCATCTGTGCTGACAGCCTGGCTAAAAGAAACTTCATCATAAAATGATGTTTATTCCACATTTTGTGTCATCAACACACCTCCAGCAAACCAACACCTGGTTATCTTCCCTTGAGCTCTGTTTGTTGCCCTAGAGGGCCCCCTGTTGGCGGAGTCCGGGAAAAATTGAACTTCCGGATGTCGAGGACGTCTGACGGGAGGGGCTGGCGTAACAGAGCTGGGGAGGTGTTGTGCAGCCGTGGAGCATCTTGAAATGATCTCTCGCTGATGAAAGGCCCTCCAACAAAAAGCTTCTGCAGCTCTCTTGAGAGGAAGGTGGAGTGATGAGCCAGGAGAACCTCTGGGACCTCGTTCTCCGGCTGCGATGCGGGGCGGCAGACAGCAAAAGAGGCGCACCGGTTGGGGATGACGTCAGCTGCCCTGTAGACGGAGCGTACTGCAGGGGCCGATAGTGTCGTTAGCGAACAGCCGCTACGACAGCGGAGCAAGCCGAAGGTCAGAGGGCCCACTGTCTCTTTCCGCCTCTGAACATGTACGCCAACAGCGTAACGTGTTGTTCGCTGCGGCCGTCTGGAACGCATGCTGGTGAGCTCAGTTGGAGAGCGGTGTCACTGTCTGGGTTATGCTAACCGGAGGCACGGGACACTGGTCCACCTGGACATCTTGCTCCAATGAAGCCTCCATCGGGCTCGGCTCCAGGGGGCACTGAGGGACTTTCCGCTCGGTGAACCCCTGCTCTAGAGATGGGTGCGGACTATGGAGACCGGCCCCCCCAATCTACCAGGAAAACCGGCTGTGGCCTCGCCCGTAGGATGTCCTGTTGGGGAAACGAGGCCAGATGGATTAAGACGGTGAGCCAGAATGGAACCTAGAAAAAACAACCTTCCCGCCGGATCATCCGAACTGGCGGGAAAAGGCGTGGGACGTAAAAAAAGGGTCCCTTCATGTCAGCCGCCTCCTGGGTTACGCTGGGCAACCCCAGAGGGCGCCGTCGGCCGGGAGCGGTGTGATCGCCGATGCGAAACGAGGTGGGATGAGGTGGGCATTCGCTCAGCCCCCCTCCACCGACACTGTGCTCTCCAGGAGGGAATGAGCAGCGGGGGGCTGCAGCTGAGCGCCGCCTGTCCCGGAGGAACCATCCGATTCACTCCGGGGGTCGGCGATAAGAGGAAAATTACAAGATGGTGTTGTCCAGCGTGTAGTGACCTGTCACTGAGAAATATTCCTCGGAACTTACCTTGAAACAAGACTGCTCGTCAGCTTCTCCTCGGGGAGGAGGGCTCACCGGACGACCGGAGGTCGACATGCCGGGCCAAGCATTCTTAACAAAGCTTGGTCATCTACACAACTTTCGTTCTTCGTTCTTCTGACAGTGCTATTAGCTTGCTGAAGAAAAAAATGGGAGCCGATTTCCCGCTCTTAACGTAATTTATACGGACCGGGTGGGGCCCACACAGCAGGTGGGCGTAGACTAAATTTTTCAGTGCAATGCTTCGCATATCGGGATAAACCCATCAGCGACAGCCTTAAAGGGCGAAGCCTATACGAAATAGAACTCCATCCCAGACACTTGGAAAACAGCCTTTGTTCTTCCTTTGCTGAAGGGAGGTGACCCCACCTCACTGAACAACTATCGACCAATCTCTAAACTCTGCATTTTAGCCAAGGTTCTAGAAAAACTGATAAACTCTCAAATCAAAAAGTATTTGGACTCATTTAACATCTTACCTCCCCATCAATCTGGCTTCAGGAAATAACACAGCACAACCACTGCTTCACTGAAGGTTCTTAATGACGTTGTTGAAGGATGGGACTAGACTTTTGTTCTGGTAAAGAATAAATCAATCTGACAATGTACTTTTAATGTTTTTGAAACCATTAGTGAAAAGGCCAGACTTCAGGGGTATCTGAGGCAGGCTTGAAACACAAGAGTCAGGGTGGCTTCTGGGTAATACCAGATGGCTAGGCCTCAGACTGACGAAGCCTCTTGGATGAGGGGCGAAACGTTTCTTTTTAACAAAAAAACGAAGTCCAGATGACATGATTCAACCTTTTTTGTTGTTACTTTTAATGTTTTTTTGAAAAAGAATTACATTTAATATGACTCAAGGTTTTTTTTTCTCCCAAAATACCTTGTTTTCCTCTACTATTTTTGTAAGATACAAGTAATCAGTGCCTATATTTGACCAATTCAGCTTTAAAATTGTCCAAGGTGCTGTGGTTGGGGTCCTGAGCCATGAATGACCAGCAGACAGTAGGGAGTGGTGAGTTTACCGATGCAAAGGTGAGCATAGAAGCCTTCATTCTTCAGCATGATGAGCAGTGAGGCCCAACCCAGAAGAACAGCAGAGAAGAGCAAGTTCTCCATGATGGCTGTGATGGCCAGCCACCATCGCCTCCTGTATGCCTGGGCCAAGCTGGGAATCATGACACCTAAAATTAAAGGGTAAATGTTAACTCATCAACAACAGACTCTCTCATTGGTACATTTTCATTTTTAAATCTCTTCTTGGTCTGCTGCCTTCATACATCTCCTCCTACATGTCATTGCAAGTGCAGCTACAGCGTGCGCTCTCAGGACATTATTACATGCAGTGTCCCCTCAGTGAGGACTGAACTAGACAAAAGGACCTTCTCCTACTTCAAGAATCTGTTGGACTCCTGGCAGGGACCAATGCAGACGTGTTCCTGTTTTTAGTTTTCTACATTCGCCTTAGAATCTAGCTGTTTTTGTTACTCTTTTTGCATCTTATTTGTAAAACAAAAATCGGTACGCTTTTTTTTATAACTGTTTATTGTTGTTGCTGTTGTCCATTGTTGTCATCGTTTGTTGAAAATCAGGTCTCTCTTGTAAATGAGTCCTCGAGGCTCAATGGGATTAACCTGTAGAAATAAAGGTTGAATGCAAAAATCTTTTCCACGACCACGCCATGTGTCTTTCCACATGGTTGTTTAAGAAATGAGAAGCAACTCATTGCACCAGTTGGGGTTAAATAATTTGTTGCAGCTGAAAGATAATCGCTCATGTACTAATTATCCAACGGGGGAGGCTCGTACAGATTTGCTTAGTTAAATCCAGGTGGAGACTTTTTTTTTGGCCAGGCAGTGTACTTTGTGACCGGGAAGGTATGAGCCTGGAAGAAGAAGGGAACATACTCGTCACATCTAAAATAGCTAAGCACAGCTTAGGGCATTCCATGACACTCCCCAGTTTTTGTAGCTGTAGTTTTGCTTAGAAAACATCTACAAGGTCTAATAATGTGTCATTTGAAAGGTAAAATGTTTCTGTATCTATTTTTGGTGCCAAAATGTTTGGTAGTTCTGTGACACAGTAACACTACAACATGCACATAGAGGAAGTTCAAAACTATTGTTAACAGTTACAGCTCATCCATTATATGACACATGCATGGTGAACAGAAAATATTAAACAATAAAAAAGCATTTAGTAGTGGTCTGTCAAAAAACTAAACTAAACCACAAAACTGTCTTCTTACTGGCTTTGACAGAAGCAACAAAAACTGAACATATTTAATTTTGATACAACTAAATTCAGTTTATTTATAATTGTATAGTACCAGTTCACTGCAAATGCTGCCACAAACATTATAAAATGTCAAACCAGCAGATTGCATCAATGTACCAACAAGTGTGGGGTAGTGGTGCTGACATCCACCAGAACATCAGAAACTTAACTAAAGGAACAAAGGATAGCAGAAATGTTCACCACCTCGGAGATAAAAAGCCACTAAAAGTGTGGTCAAGGTGCTCATGGACAAGTACAGTTTTACAAGGTCTACATGTTGCAGTTTTAGCACAAAATGCTCAAATGATTAAAATAACTTACTGTGTTAGTAGTTGTCCAGCAGAAAGTATATTTTATATGAAGTGAGGAGTTCTGAACAAAACAAGAAGTTGGGTTTTGTTTTTTGTCTGTGTCTCTCTTGCAGACTATACGCACAGATATCCTGCTGTGTCTGCTGTGCACACACTCACGCTGACACTTTTCATGTCCATAAATACACGGAGTCTGGGCTGTCCATGTCGAACTCAAGTCTTTGATAGATGCACAGAATAACACCCTACACACTGCAAATGAAAACCTTTGGACACACTAACATGGCTTTCGTCTGCTGCAATGTTTTCTATCACACAAGTCCTATTTTCTGTAACTCGTGGAAGGAACTGATGAACCTTCTTGCTGTCTGGCACCATCGTGTGGTGAAGTATAAGGCCCTCACTTCATGTGCAGAGGAAAGCTTTGTGACCAGTGATTACTGGGTGCACTCCTGTCCTGTCATCATCACCCTCCCCTGCAGGCAAAATGTTTCTGCTCATTTCCATGTGTTCATTTTCTGTCTGTTAGCAGAATATTTTAAGAAACAGTGGACAGATTTAAATGAAACTCTCATTAGATTAACTTCTGAAGTCAGTCAGAGGTGGCTGCTACGGCTGAACAGAACCAAACACAAAAATGGGTGTAACTTAATCATTTAAGCTCAATGTGTGTGTGGTAGTAGTGGAGTCCTTCCAAACACAAACTCTGAGCACTAACTGACCACCTGAGATCAGTTTGTACTTTCTCTTGAACTACTCGAGTCTGTCCGATAGCAAAACGTGCCATGAGCCAATGGATGGATCTTAATCAAATATTTCAAATACTAATCGCTGGATGCACATCTGCAATTGTCTAACTTTTGAAGACAACACAATTTAACATTGCTGCCACAGCCAACCAACTTTAACAAACCAAAGTAGTTCAAACATAGAGCTGTTAGAGCAAAGTGTTCCTTCAGGAATGTCAGGCCTGACGCAGAATTCTAATGTTCATCCAGGATACAGTTTGAATTTCACTACATTCTTCTTTTTGTTCTTCTTCTTCCAGCTTTTCCCTCTTCAGGGTCACCACAGCGAGTCCTCCTGCATCTCTGTCCTCTGTCCTCACTCCAACTACCTCCATGTCCTCTCTAACTGCATCCATATATTGTACAGTTGAAACCAGAAGTTTACATACACCATTTAAAAAGACATATGCATTTTTTTCACACTGACGTGAAAACAGATTGAGCTTTTCTCCTTTTAGGTCAATTAGTTACCAAATTACTTTCTGTTTGCAAAATGCCAGAATAATGAGTGAGAATGTTTTAAAACATTTTTTATTACTTTCTTCAAAGTCAAAAGTTTAAATACACTTGGTTAGTATTTGGTTCCATTGCCCATAAACTGAATGAGCTGGAACAAACATTTTGGATCTTCCACAAGCTTCTCACAATAGTTGGCAGGAATTCTGGCCCATTCCTCCTGACAGAACTGTTTGTTTGTTTGTTTGTTTGCACAAAAAGAAACAACACACATAAAAGAAAAGTTTAAAAAAAAAACGTGCAGGAGAGGTCATAAAAACCCTAGTTGGGCTTAGCAGCGCCCCCCTCCCTCTAAAAAATAAAGAAAACAATCATAAAAGCTCATCCATAAGCTACATCTTACTTTAAACACACACAATTACACACCAAAGCAAAAGATAATAGTTTATATTAAATAAATTTAAATTGTCAAAAAATATTAAAATGATAAATTAAAAAAACAAAAAACTAATGTGTTAAAAAAAATCTATAAAGTTTGTTTAAACTTTCTTGTACATACAGATGATGCTGTACATGATTCACCTAATTGTTCCACAGCACAACACCCTGATGCATGAACGAACCTTTAGTGGTTCTACAGAGGGAAATGGAAATCATCCCTCCTTCTTGTACACTATGAATGATAAGAAGAATTAAACTCAAAGAAATTGTGAAAATATTTAGGTAAAGAAAATGGAATACATTTAACTTTATACATCAGGATTCCTATTTGATACTTATTCACATCATAGATTGTAAGAATTTCTAATTTTTTAAAGAGAGGTGTGGATGGAGCTAAATACGGAGAGTTAGTGACAATTCTTACAAAACATTTTTGAACTTTATGGATTGACTGCAAGTAAGAAGGATAGGTACTAGCCCAAATTAAATTACAGTAAGAAATATGGGGATAAATTAAACTATTATACAAAGTCAATAAAGTACTTGTTTTTAAATATGGTTTAACCTTTTTTATAATACCTAACGATTTTGAAATCTTCTTATACACCGATCCACAGTGAAAAAGTTTCTCATCAATATAGACACCTAACAACTTTGTTGACGAAACATTAGAAAGTAAATTGTTATAAATGTAAATTTAGTTTTTTTCTGGATTGTAATTTTTATTCTTATTCTTAAATAAGATGAAATTAGATTTTTAAACATTAAGTGATGGTCTATTTAACTGAAACCACTGAGCAAGTTGAATGAGCCAATAATTTGCCTTATCAATAAATGAGTGAAAGTTACCATCAGCAACAAAAAGAGTGGTTTCTTCAGCAAATAAGATCGGTGTCAGAACACTAGATGCTTTTGGTAGATCATTAATGTATATGAGAAACAATAATGGACCCACAATGGATCCTTGTGGAACTCCACATTTTAGGACATCCCGCTGTGACAATTTACTATTAAAAATTACAATTTGCTGTTGTGCAAATAACTTTCAACACATTTCAGAACCTTATTTTTAAAACCATAGTAAGACATTTTTGATAATAAGATTTCATAATCCACAGTGTCAAAAGCTTTTGATTAGTCCAAGACAATTCCTAGAGCATATTCATTTTTCTCAAAAGCAGTTGAAACCTTTTCTCTAAGATGCAAGAGAGCCATATATGTAGAACAATTCTTTCTAAAGCCATACTGATGCTCATACAAAATATTGTTGGCATCAAGATGCCTCAAGATTCTACAATACACCCACTCTCTCAAGTATCTTAGAAAAGCACGGGAGAACTGATGAGGGGCGATAATTTGAAAATACAGATGGGTCATCAGCTTTAAACAGCGGGATGACCTTGGCAAGTTTTAGATCTTGTGGGATGATACCAGCTTCAAGTGACAGGGAAAAAATAAATGTTAACGGAGCAACAACTATAGGGGCAACTTTCTTTATAACGTAGACTGTAATTTCATCGTGGCCAGCAGAAGAGTTTTAAAGATTCTTAATGGTATCAAGTACTTCTAAAGGTTTTATTGGATCAAATGTATTTAAAGAGGGATCATTTTCATTTATGAAATTAGAAAGACAATCAGAAACATTGTCAATATTCTTTGCAAGGTGTGGTCCCACATTTATAAAATAATGACTACATTTATTTGCAGTTTGTGTTGGATCTGTTGAGATTGAAGTGCCATCCTGAAATGTAGCCTGGGATGGGGTAGAGGCATGTTCTTGTTGAGTAGTACTTTTAAAATATCCCATGTAGTTTTTGAATTATTTGATGATTGAGTAAAAGAGATGACGTCTAGATGGGAGCATATGTTGTTCTAGAACCTGAA